TCTTTCCTTCCTTTTCCTTCTTCTTCTTCTTCCCTTTTCCTTCCTTTCCCTGCCTTTTCTTCCCTTTCCCTTCTTTTTCTTCCTCCTACCTCTCCTTCCCTCCCTTTTCCTTCTTCTTCCTGCCTTTTCCTGCCTTTTTTCCCTGTTTCCTCTCCTTTCCTCTCCTTTCCTCCATTGTCCTTCTTCTTCCATATTTTTCCATATTTTTCCTTAATTTTCCTTCTTTTCTCTTCCTTTTCCTGCCCTTTTCCTTCCTTTTCCTGTCCTTTCTTCCCCTTCCCTTCCTTATTTTTCCTTCTTTTCCTGCTTTTTCTTCCCTTTCCTTCCTTATCCTTCCTTTTCCTCCTCTTTCTTCCCCTTCCCCCCTTTTCCTTATTTTTCCTTATTTTTCCTTATTTTCCCTTGTTTTTCCTTCTTCTCCTGCCCTTTCTTCCCTTTTCCTTCCTTCCTTCTCCTTCCTTTTCCTCTTACCTCTCCTTCCATCCCTTTTCCTTCCTCTTCCATATTTTTCCTTCTTTTCCCTTCCTTTTCCTGCCCTTCCTTCCCTTTCCCTTCCTTTTTTCCCCCTTGCCTCTCTTTCCCTTCCTGTTTCCTTCTTATTCCTCCATTTCCTGCTCTTTCTTCCCCCTCCCTTCCTTAATTTTCCTTTTTTTCCCTTCCTTTTCCTCCCCTTTCTTCCCCTTTCCATCCTTTTCCTTCTTTTTCCTGCCTTTTCTTCCCTTTCCCTTCTTTTTCCTCCTCTTAACCTCTCCCTTCCCTTTTCTTCCCTCCCTTTCCCTCCCTAAATCCTTTCCCTAAATCCCTTCCCGGATTCCCTGCAAGCTCCGAGGCACCGGGATTTATCCCAGGCCCATCCACAGCACATGCAGCTTTTCCAAGGATACTCCCAAAGGGTTTTCCTGGCCCCACCAATTCTGGGAATACCGCCATCCCATCATCCCATCATCCCATCATCTCAATCCCTTTGGAAGATCGACACCCAGGACCAGAAGGAGCGCGTCTCCGTTATCCAATCCCATTATCCCCTTATCCCATTATCCCAACATCCCATAATCCCATTATCCTGGGAATTCCCACCATCCCTCAATCCCAGGTGGAGAAGGTGGCCCGGATGCTGTTCCTGTGGAAGATCGACGTCCGCGACCAGAAGGAGCGCGACTCCATTATTCCATTATCCCGTTATGCCATTATCCCGTTATCCCGCTATCCCATCCCACAATCCCATAATCCTACAATCCCACAATCCCACATTCCCACAATCCCGGGAATTCCCACAATTCCCAGCCTGTGTTCCCAGGTGGAGAAGCTGGCCCGGACGCTGTTCCTGTGGAAGATCGACGTCCGCGACCAGAAGGAGCGCGTCTCCATTATCCCATCCCAATATCCCCTTATCCCAATATTCCCTTTCCCCCTTATCCCATAATCCCAACATCCCATAATCCCATCAGTTCCCACATTCCCACCATCCCACAATCCCAGGTGGAGAAGCTGGCCCAGACGCTGTTCCTGTGGAAGATCGACGTCCACCACCAGAAGGAGCGCGTCTCCATTATCCCATCCCATTATCCCATCCCAATATCCCACTATCCCACATTCCCACAATTCCAGGAATTCCCACAATTCCCGGCCTGTGTTCCCAGGTGGAGAAGCTGGCCCGGACGCTGTTCCTGTGGAAGATCGACGTCCACGACCAGAAGGAGCGCGTCTCCATTATCCCATCCCATTATCCCACAACCCCAATATCCCACAATCCCACATTCCCAAAATCCCAGGAATTCCCACAATTCCCGGCCTGTGTTCCCAGGTGGAGAAGCTGGCCCGGACGCTGTTCCTGTGGAAGATCGACGTCCACGACCAGAAGGAGCGCGTCTCCGAGATGCGCCGCTGGAACGAGGCGCTGGTGGCCAACATGCTGCCCGAGCACGTGGCCCGCCACTTCCTGGGCTCCAAAAAGCGCGACGAGGTCGGTATTCCCGATTTTCCAGCCGGTATTCCTGCTTTTCCAGTTCGGTATTCCCGAGTTTCCGGGTGGTTCCCACATTCCCGGAATGGTTTGGGTGGGATCCATAGGCCTCCAATCCCATCCCATTCCCACCCCACCATGCCAGGTGGCTCCAACTTTTCCTTGGACACTGCCAGGGATTCTCTGGGAATTCCTTCCCCTATTCCCAGGGAATTCCCTCCATTCCCAGCTCTCCCAGCCTGCCATTGCATCCATCCCCATCCCGATTCCTCTCTGGGAACGAATTTCAGGAATTCCCTGGGAAATGGGGACTCCAGGAATGATCTTCCTTCCCTTTTCCATCCACACAAATTCCATAAAAATCCCTGGGGATGGATCCTGAGCGTCCTGGATCCCAAAATTCTGGAATTCTTTGGGTGGGATCCATGGAGCTTCAATCCCACCACATGATCCCAGGGCGCTCCAGCCTTTCCTTGGACATTCCCAGGGATCCAGAGCAGCTGGAAAAACCTTGGAAAACCCCCCTTGGATGGGAATTCCCAAATTCCCAGTGAGCGCGGGGGGTATCCGGAATTTCGGGAAGGAATTTCCAGGATGTCTTCCATGGGGGGATAAACCAGAGATTTAATCCCTAAAACCCAACATTTCTCAACCAATAATTACCAATTAACAACCAATAACCAATAACCAATGACCAATGACCGATAACGGCGCGCTCCGGCGGCGCATTCCCGGCCCCGCGGGGGCGCGTTCCCGGAATTCCCAGGAGCTGTACAGCCAGTCCTACGAGGAGATCGGGGTGATGTTCGCCTCCCTGCCCACGTCCCCCAAAATTCCATAAAAATCCCTCAGGCGTTTTTCAATCCTGAGCGTGCTGGGTCCCAAAATTCTGGAATTCTTTGGGTGGGATCCATGGAGCTTCAATCCCACCACATGATCCCAGGGCGCTCCAGCCTTTCCTTGGACATTCCCAGGGATACATAGCAGCCGGGAAAACCTTGGAAAACCCCCCTTGGACAGGAATTCCCAAATTCCCAGTGAGCGCTGGGGGTATCCAGAATTTCGGGAAGGAATTTCCAGGATGTCTTCCATGGGGGGATAAACCAGAGATTTAATCCCTAAAACCCAACATTTCTCAACCAATAATTACCAATTAACAAGCAATGACCAATAACCAATAACCAATGATCAATAACCGATAATGGCGCGCTCCGGCGGCGCATTCCCGGCCCCGCGGGGGCGCGTTCCCGGAATTCCCAGGAGCTGTACAGCCAGTCCTACGAGGAGATCGGGGTGATGTTCTCATCCCTCTCTCATCCCCAAATCCCATAAAAATCCCTCAGGATGGATCCTGAGCGTCCTGGGTCCCAAAATTGTGGAATTCTTTGGGTGGGATCCATGGAGCTTCATCTCCCCCCATTCCCACCACATGATCCCAGGGCGCTCCAGCCTTTCCTTGGACATTCCCAGGGATCCAGAGCAGCTGGAAAAACCTTGGAAAACCCCCCTTGGATGGGAATTCCCAAATTCCCAGTGAGCGCGGGGGGTATCCGGAATTTCGGGAAGGAATTTCCAGGATGTCTTCCATGGGGGGATAAACCAGAGATTTAATCCCTAAAACCCAACATTTCTCAACCAATAATTACCAATTAACAACCAATAATATCCAATGATCAATGACCAATGACCGATAACGGCGCGCTCCGGCGGCGCATTCCCGGCCCCGCGGGGGCGCGTTCCCGGAATTCCCAGGAGCTGTACAGCCAGTCCTACGAGGAGATCGGGGTGATGTTCGCCTCCCTGCCCAACTTCGCCGACTTCTACACGGAGGAGAGCATCAACAACGGCGGCATCGAGTGCCTGCGCTTCCTCAACGAGATCATCTCCGACTTCGACGCGGTGAGCCCCCGGCGCCGCCGGAATTCCCCACGGATCGGGGCGGGGCACGGCCAGGCCCAGGTGGGACCGCAGCGGGGATCACGGGGAATGGCCAGGTGGGATCATGGTGGGAATTGTGGGGAATGTCCAGGTGGGATCACGGTGGGAATCGTGGGGAATGTCCAGGTGGGATCACGGTGGGAATTGTGGGGAATGTCCAGGTGGGATCACGGTGGGAATCGCGGGGAATGTCCAGGTGGGATCACGGTGGGAATTGTGGGGAATGTCCAGGTGGGATCAGACTGGGAATCATGGGGAATGTCCAGGTGGGATCAGACTGGGAATCATGGGGAATGTCCAGGTGGGATCACGGTGGAAATCACGGGGAACATCCAGGTGGGATCCGATTGGGAATCACGGGAACATCCAGGTGGGATCAGACTGGGAATCATGGGGAATGTCCAGGTGGGATCACAGTGGGAATTGTGGGGAATGTCCAGGTGGGATCACAGTGGGAATTGTGGGGAATGTCCAGGTGGGATCACAGTGGGAATTGTGGGGAATGTCCAGGTGGGATCACAGTGGGAATTGTGGGGAATGTCCAGGTGGGATCACAGTGGGAATTGTGGGGAATGTCCAGGTGGGATCACAGTGGGAATTGTGGGGAATGTCCAGGTGGGATCAGACTGGGAATGACGGGATCATCCAGGTGGGATCATGGGAACATCCAGGTGGGATTGGACTGGGAATCACGGGAACATCCAGGTGGGATCAGACTGGGAATGACGGGATCATCCAGGTGGGATCGGACTAGGAATGACGGGAACATCCAGGTGGGGCACCTCCAGGTGGGATCACACTGGGAATCAAGGGAACATCCAGGTGGGATGGGGAACACCCAGGTGGGATCGGATTGGGAATCACAGGAACATCCAGGTGGGATCGGACTAGGAATGACGGGAACATCCAGGTGGGGCAGGGAACATCCATGTGGGATCAGACTGGGAATCATGGGGAATGTCCAGGTGGGATCACAGTGGGAATCCTGGGGAACATCTAGGTGGGATCAGACTGGGAATCATGGGAACATCCAGGTGGGGCAGGGAACATCCATGTGGGATCACACTGGGAATCAAGGGAACATCCAGGTGGGATCAGACTGGGAATCACGGGATCATCCAGGTGGGATCAAACTGGGAATCAAGGGAACACCCATGTGGGATCACACTGGGAATCAAGGGAACATCCAGGTGGGATCGGACTGGGAATCACAGGAACATCCAGGTGGGATCCCTGGGATCATCCAGGTGGGATCGGACTGGGAATCACGGGATCATCCAGGTGGGATCCCTGGGATCATCCAGGTGGGATCCCTGGGATCCACCCGGAGGTTCCCCCCGCGCTCCGGCCGGGACCCGCCGTGATCCCGGTTTCCGTGCCGAGGAACATCCAGGTGGGATCAAGGGAACATCCAGGTGGGATCGGACTGGGAATCACGGGATCATCCAGGTGGGATCCCTGGGATCATCCAGGTGGGATCCCTGGGATCCACCCGGAGGTTCCCCCCGCGCTCCGGCCGGGACCCGCCGTGATCCCGGTTTCCGTGCCGGTGCCAGCTGCTGGACGAGCCGCAGTTCCGCTGCATCACCAAGATCAAGACCATCGGCAGCACCTACATGGCCGCCTCCGGGGTGACGCCCGACGCCGGCGCCAACGGATTCGGAGCCAAGGTCAGGCCGGGATCCGGCCTTGGGACGCCCCTGGGGACCGTGGGATTGGTCCCTTCCTCCTTGTCTGCCATCTCCGTGTCTCGGTTCTGTGATCCAGCCATGTCCCATCACCTCAGTGTCCCATCATCTCCGTGTCCCATCATCTCCACGTCCCAGCTTGGTGTCCCATCCCTGTCCCATCTCCATGTCCGTGTCCTGTCCCATCTCCATGTCCCTCTCCATGTCCCATCTCCGTGTCCCATCTCCATCTCCCGTCATCTCCATGTCTCATCCCAGTGTCCCCATGTCCCTGTCCCATCTCCGTGTCCCATCATCCCTATCCCATCCCAATGTCCCGTTGCTGTCCCCAGATCCATTTCCCATCTCCGTGCCCCATCATCCCCATCCCATCCCAATGTCCCACCATCTCCATGTCCCATCCCAATGTCCCCAGATCCATTACCCATTTCCATGTCCCATCATCCCCGCCCCATCCCAATGTCCCCAGATCCACGTCCCATCTCCCATCTCCATGTCTCATCTCCGTGCCCCATCATCCCCATCCCATCCCAATGTCGCATTTCTGTCCCATTTCCATTTCCCATCTCCGTGTCCCATCATCCCCATCCCGTCCCATCGCAATGTTCCGTTCCTGTCCCATTTCCATGTCCCATCTCCATGTCCCATCATCCCCATCCCATCCCAATGTCCCCATCTCCATGTCCCATCTCCATGTCCCATCATCCCCATGTCCCATTCCAATGTCCCATTTCCATGTCCCATCTCCGTGTCCCATCATCTCCATGTCCCATCCCAATGTCCCCATTTCCATGTCCCATCTCCATGTCCAATCATCCCTATCCCATCCCGTCCCAATGTCCCCAGATCCATTTCCCATCTCCGTGTCCCATCATCCCCATGTCCCATCCCAATGTCCCGTTCCTGTCCCATTTCCATGTCCCATCATCTCCGTATCCCATCCCAATGTCCCCAGATACACGTCCCATCCCAATGTCCCATCCCCACATCCCACCTCCATCCCCACATCCCACCTCCATCCCCACCTCCCACCTCCCGTCCCGCTGTCCCGTTCCCCACCTCCCGCCTCCCGGGACCCTCGGGAGGTGGCCGAATCCCGGGATTTCCGCGCAGAAGGATCCGCGCTCGGAGAAGGAGCGCTGGCAGCACCTGGCCGACCTGGCCGACTTCGCGCTGGCCATGAAGGTGACGCTGATGAACATCAACTACCAGTCCTTCAACAACTTCATGCTGCGCATAGGCAAGTCCGGGAGGGAACGCCGGGAATGCCGGGAATTCCGGAACGTTCCGGGCCTGATCCCTATCCCTCCGGGCAGGGATGAACAAGGGGGCGGTGCTGGCCGGCGTCATCGGGGCGCGCAAGCCCCACTACGACATCTGGGGCAACACGGTCAACGTGGCCAGCAGGATGGAGTCCACCGGAGTCATGGGCAACATCCAGGTGGGACCGCGCCGGGAATCCTGGGAATATCCCTGGGGAACGTCCGCGTGGGGTCACAGCCGGGATGACTGGGAATATCCGGGTGGGGTCATGGGGAACATCCAGGTGGGACCTCGCCGGGAATGAGCTTAGGAATATCAGGGAACATCCAGGTGGGGTCACGTTGGGAATCTTGGGAATATCTGGGTGGGACCAGATCAGGAATCTTGGAAATATCCAGGTGGAATCCCCTCAGGAATCTTGGGAGTACCCAGGTGGGATGGGGAACATCCAGGTGGGATCACACAGGGAACATCCAGGTGGGATCACGTTGGGAATCTTGGGGATATCTGGGTGGGATCACCCCGGGAATGTTTGGAATATTCAGGTGGGGTCACAGGAATCTTGGGAATATCTGGGTGGGACCAGACAAGGAATCTTGGGAACATCCAGGTGGGATCACGTTGGGAATCTTGGGAATATCTGGGTGGGACCAGACAAGGAATCTTGGGAACATCCAGGTGGAATCCCCTCAGGAATCTTGGGAGTATCCAGGTGGGATGGGGAACATCCAGGTGGGATCACACGGGACATCCAGGTGGGATCACATTGGGAACCTTGGGAATATCTGGGTGGGACCAGATCAGGAACATCCAGGTGGGATCATGGGCAACATCCAGGTGGGACCACGCCGGGAATCTTGGGAATATCCCTGGGGAACGTCCGCGTGGGGTCACAGCCGGGATGACTGGGAATATCCGGGTGGGGTCAGGGGGAACATCCAGGTGGGACCTCGGCGGGAATGAGCTTAGGAATATCAGGGTGGAATGGGGGACATCCGGGTGGGGTCACATTGGGAATCTTGGGAATATCTGGGTGGGACCAGACCAGGAATCCTGGAAACATCCAGGTGGAATCCCCTCAGGAATCTTGGGAGTATCTGGGTGGGATGGGGAACATCCAGGTGGGGTCACGTTGGGAATCTTGGGAATATCTGGGTGGGGCCAGACCAGGAATCTTGGAAACATCCAGGTGGAATCCCCTCAGGAATCTTGGGAACATCCAGGTGGGATCCCCTCAGGAATCTTGGGAGTATCTGGGTGGGATGGGGAACATCCAGGTGGGGTCACGTTGGGAATCTTGGGAATATCTGGGTGGGGCCAGACCAGGAATCTTGGAAACATCCAGGTGGAATCCCCTCAGGAATCTTGGGAACATCCAGGTGGGATCCCCTCAGGAATCTTGGGAATATCTGGGTGGGACCAGATCAGGAATTTTGGGAACATCCAGGTGGGACCAGATCAGGAATCTTGGGAATATCCAGGTGGGATCATGGGCAACTTTGAGGTGGGACCTCGCTGGGAATGAGCTTGGGAACATCCCGGTGGGATGGGGGACATCTGGGTGGGATCACACTGGGAATCTTGGGAATATCTGGGTGGGACCAGATCAGGAATCTTGGAAATATCCAGGTGGAATCCCCTCAGGAATCTTGGGAGTACCCAGGTGGGATGGGGAACATCCAGGTGGGATCACACAGGGAACATCCAGGTGGGATCACGTTGGGAATCTTGGGGATATCTGGGTGGGATCACCCCGGGAATGTTTGGAATATTCAGGTGGGGTCACAGGAATCTTGGGAATATCTGGGTGGGACCAGATCAGGAACATCCAGGTGGGATCATGGGCAACATCCAGGTGGGACCACGCCGGGAATCTTGGGAATATCCCTGGGGAACGTCCGCGTGGGGTCACAGCCGGGATGACTGGGAATATCCGGGTGGGGTCAGGGGGAACATCCAGGTGGGACCTCGGCGGGAATGAGCTTGGGAATATCAGGGTGGAATGGGGGACATCCGGGTGGGGTCACATTGGGAATCTTGGGAATATCAGGGTGGGACCAGACCAGGAATCCTGGAAACATCCAGGTGGAATCCCCTCAGGAATCTTGGGAGTATCTGGGTGGGATGGGGAACATCCAGGTGGGGTCACGTTGGGAATCTTGGGAATATCTGGGTGGGGCCAGACCAGGAATCTTGGAAACATCCAGGTGGAATCCCCTCAGGAATCTTGGGAATATCCAGGTGGGATCATGGGCAACTTTGAGGTGGGACCTCGCTGGGAATGAGCTTGGGAACATCCCGGTGGGATGGGGGACATCTGGGTGGGATCACACTGGGAATCTTGGGAATATCTGGGTGGGACCAGATCAGGAATCTTGTGAATATCCAGGTGGGATCACCATGGGAATCTTGGGAATATCAGGGTGGGACGGGGAACATCCAGGTGGGATCAATCTTGGGAATATCCAGGTGGGATCACCTCGGGAATCTTGGGAATATCTGGGTGGGAGGGGGAGCATCCAGGTGGGATCATACAGGGAACATCCAGGTGGAATCACGTTGGGAATCTTGGGAATATCCGGATGGGATCACAGCAGGAATCTTGGGAATATCCAGGTGGGATGTGGAACATCCAGGTGGGATCATGGGGAACATCCAGATGGGACCTCGCCGGGAATGAGCGTGGGAACATCCGGGTGGGATGGGTGACATCCAGGTGGGATGGGTGACATCCAGGTGGGAATATTGGGAATATCGGGATGGGATCACCCTGAGAATCTGGGGAATATCCAGGTGGGATCACCCGGGGAATGTCTGGAATATCCAGGTGGGATCACCTTGAGAATCTTGGGAATATCCGGCTGGGATGGGGAATATCCAGTTGGGAATCACCCCAGGAATCTTGGGGAGATCCAGGTGGGATCACACCGGGGTTTCCTTGGGAATTTGGGACGCTAGGAAGTGTCTCCTTTCACTTTTCCATCCCCAAATCCCATAAAAATCCCTGGGGATGGATCCTGAGCGTCCTTGACCCCAGAATCCTGGAATTCTTGGGACGGGATCCATGGACCTTCAATCCCATCCCATTCCAATCTCACAATCCTGGGATTTTCCAGCCTTTCCTTGGACACTCCCAGCGATCCTCTGGGAATTCCACCCCACCCTTCCAGGAATTTCCGCTCCTTCCTCGGGAATTTCCCCCTCCACATCCGGAGGGGGAAATTCCCGTTTCTCTCCGCTTTTCCCACCTCCCGTTTCCCAAGGGAACATTCCCAGATTCCCGGTTTTTTTTTTCTTTTCCCCCCCCGGCAGGTGGTGGAGGAGACGCAGCAGATCCTGAAGGAATACGGATTCCGCTTCGTCCGCCGCGGCGCCGTCTACGTCAAGGGCAAAGGCGAGCTCCTGACGTTTTTCCTGAAGGGCCGCGAAAAACCGGGATCGTTCCTCGGATCCGCCACCGTCCCCCTGCCCCACCAGGTGCTGGAGAATTCCTGAGGATTCTTTGGGAATCTCCAACCGGATCCGGAACCCGACCCCCTCGGCACGGCCCCCTTCCCGGAGGTTTTTTTGGGGGTTTTTTTTTGGGGGTGGGGGTTTTTAGTTCCGTGTGGAAAAGAGGGAAAGGCGGATCCGGGTTTTTCCCGGGGTTTTCCCGCCGCGGGAATTCCGGACTCGGAGCGGTGGCGGCAATTCCAGGAGATCCAAACTCAGGGATGGTTGGGAAGACTCCGCGTCTCTTCCGCGTGCCGGGAGCGGGAGCAAATCCGGGATTTTCCCGGAAATTCCTCCCGAATTCGAGAGCTCGGGTCCGGCTTGGATATGGGGAAGGACGGGAGTTGTGTATTCCAGATCCATAAATTTTATCGGAGAAGCGATGGGTTTTTATTTGTGCCCCGCGGCCGGGATCGGGATCAGGAACGGGATCGGGATCAGGAACGGATTGGGATCAGAATTGGGATCGGGATTGAGATCCAGATTGGGATCAAGATCAGGATCTGAATCGGAATCTGGATCGAGATCCAGATTGGGATTGGAATCGGGATCAGGATCGGGATCGGAATCAGGATTGGGATTGGGATCAGGATTGGGATTAGGATCGGGATCAGGATCTGAATCATGATTGGAATCAGGATTGGGATTGGAATCGGGATGAGGAACGGGATCGGGATCGGGATCAGGAACAGGATCGGGATCAGAATTGGGATCGGGATTGAGATCCAGATTGGGATCAAGATCAGGATCGGAATCGGAATCTGGAGCGAGATCCAGATTGGGATTTGGAATTGGGATGAGGATCAGGATTAGAATTGGGATTAAGATCATGATCAGAATCGGGATTGGAACTGGGATGGAGATGGGAATCGGGATCGGGATTGAGATCAGGATGGGGATTTGAGATAGGGATTGGAATTGGGATGAGGATCGGGATTAGAATTGGGATTAAGGTCATGATCAGAATGGGGATTGGAACTGGGATGGAGATGGGAATCGGGATCGGGATTGAGATCAGGATGGGGATTTGAGATAGGGATTGGAATTGGGATGAGGATCGGGATTAGAATTGGGATTAAGGTCATGATCAGAATGGGGATTGGAACTGGGATGGAGATGGGAATCGGGATCGGGATTGAGATCAGGATGGGGATTTGAGATAGGGATTGGAATTGGGATGAGGATCGGGATTAGAATTGGGATTAAGGTCATGATCAGAATGGGGATTGGAACTGGGATGGAGATGGGAATCGGGATCGGGATTGAGATCAGGATGGGGATTTGAGATAGGGATTGGAATTGGGATGAGGATCAGGATTAGGATTGGGATCTGAATCGGGATGGGGTTGAGGATTGGGATCGGGATCAGGATCGGGATCAGGATCGGGATCAGGATCGGGATCAGGATTGGGATCAGAATCAGGATCAGGATCCTAATCGGGATGGGGATGAGGATTGGGATTGGGATCAGGATCAGGATCAGAATCTGGATCGAGATCCCGATTGGGATTGGATTTAGGATCAGGATCGGGATCAGGATCTGAATCATGATTGGAATCAGGATTGGGATCAGGATCAGGGTCAGAATCAGAGTTGAGATCAGGATTGGGATCAGGGTCAGGATTGGGATCAGAATTGGGATTAGGATTGGGATCTGAATTGGGACAGGGATGAGGATTGGGATCGGGATCAGGATTGGGATCAGGATTGTGATCGGGATCAGGATCCTAATCGGGATGGGGGTGAGGATTGGGATCGGGATCAGGATCAGGATTGGGATCAGAATCGGGATCAGGATGGGAATTGGTATAGGGATGAGAATCAGGATCAGAATCAGGATGGGGATCGAGATTGGAAGCAGAAGCGGAATTGTAATCAGGATCGGGATCAGAATAGGAATTGGGATCCGAATCAGGATGGGTATGAGGATTGGGATTGGGATCGGGATCAGAATTGGGATTGAGATTGGGATCAGAATCGGAATCAGGATTGGAATCAGGATCAGGATTGGGATCGGGATCAGAATCAGAATCAAGATTAGAATCAGAATCGGGATTGAGATTGGGATCAGAATCAGGATTGGAATCAGGATCAGGATTGGGATTGGGATCAGGATTGGGATCAGGATCAGAATCGGGATGGGAATGGGAATTGGGTTCAGGATTGAGATTGGAAGTGGAAGCAGAATCAGGATTGGAATTGGGATCAGGATCGGGATTGGGAACAAGAATGGGAATGGGATTGGAATGGGGATCGGGATCGGGATGAGGATCAGGATGGGGATCGGGATTGGGGTCAGGATTGGGATAGGGATCGGGATCAGGATTGGGGTTTGGGATCAGGGTGGGAATCGGGATCGGAATTGGGATGGGAATCGAGATCAGAAGCAGAAGCGGAATCGCAATCGGGATCAGGATTGGAATCGGGATGGGAATTGTGATCAGGATTGGGATCGGGATCAGGATCGGGATTGGAATGGGAATTGCCATCAGAGTCGGGATTGTGATGGGACTCGGTGGCACCGGAAATGGAGCCCATGGAATCTGGAGAGCCAGGGGCATTCCTGGAGTTGGGATCGCCTTCCAATTCATTCCCTCATCCCAAAATTCCCATCCCCCAACCCTTTCCCTCCCATTCCCAACCACCCCAATTCCCGTTTTTTTCGCCGCCATCTCCCAGCGCTCTCATCCCGATTTTTTTCAATTCTTCGGGAATTTTCCATCCAGACTTTTAAAATTTCTTCGGGAATTTCCCATCCTTTTTTTTTTTTTTTTTTTTTTTTTTTTAATTTCTTCGGGAATTTCCCATTCCCTCCTTTACAGCATTTTACACCTTCCCGCCATCCCAAGAATTCCCAACCGGGATCCATCCCAAGAACTCCCACCCTGGGAATTCCCACCCAGAATCCCGGGATTTTAACGAGGACGGATCGAGCGCTAAGGGGGACACTAGAGGGGCCGCGGATCCCATGGGATTTTTCCGGGAATTTTTTTCCCGGATTTTCCCCGTCACTGCCCATCCTTGGAGAAGCTCTTCCCGATGGCGTTCTTGAAGAGCGTCACCAGCGGCGTCCGGATCCGCTCCGAGCTCATGAATCCCCCGTAGCGCTTCTCCTTCCGGGAATTCCACGGGAACCTCGGGAATTCCTCATCCTCCTCCTCCTCGCCTTCCGAGGGTTCCCCCCGCCGGAATTCCAGCCGGGAATTCTCCTCCGACTCCTCCTCGGCCCCGTTGGGGTAAACCTTGACCGGCCTCCTCTTGCGCCCCACGGGTTTCCCCCACCGGAAGTGCTCCATGGAATACGAGCGCTTCCCGTCCTTCCCCGGCTCCCCGGAGCGCTGGGAAAAGCCGGGAATTCCGGGCTCGTTCCCGGATTTCTCCTCCTCCTCCTCCTCCTCCTCCTCCCGTTTCCCGGGCTCGCTGCCGTTCCGGCGGCCGAACTGGTTCCAGCGGAAGTGGCTCATGACGTAGCGCCGCAGGCTCTCGGAGAGCGGCTGGAATTGCCCGTTCCCGGGAAAAAGGGGGGATTCCAAGGAAATCTGCGCCCGGCACGACCCGGCGCAGGCCTGGAGGGGAGGGAATTCCCAAATCTTGGAATTCCGGGGCGGAATTCCCACTTTTTCCGTGATCCCGGAGTTGGGGACAATTTGGGAGTGGGGGATTTGGGAGCCTCTGGAAGCAGAAAATTTGGGAGATTTTGGAGCCTCTGGAATTCCCAAATTAGGGAATTCTCTGGAAAACCAAAAATTTTGTGAGAATCCCGTGTGGGGATTCCCAAATTTGGGGATTCCGGAATGGAATTCCCGCTTTTCCTGATGTTGGGAATAATTTGGGAACGGGGGATTTGGAGCCCTCAGGAAGCGGAAAATTTGGCGTTTTAGACCCTCTGGAATTTGGGAATTCCCAAATTTGGAGATTCCCTGGAAAAACACAAGGAACAGGAATTCTGAGAATTCCCGGAAAAAGGGGAGATTCCAAGGAAATCTGGCGCCCGGCACGACCCGGCGCAGGCCTGGAGGGGAGGGAATTCCCAAATCTTGGAATTCCGGGGCGGAATTCCCACTTTTTCCGTGATCCTGGAGTTGGGGACAATTTGGGAGTGGGGGATTTGGGACGCTCTGGAAGTGGAAAATTCGGGAAACCTCTGAAAATTTTGGAACCTCTGGAATTCTGGGAGAATCCCAAATTTGGGAATTCCCTGGAAAACCAAAAATTTTGTGAGAATCCCGGGTGGAGATTCCCGGGATGGGGATTCCGGAATGGAATTCCCGCTTTTCCTGATGTTGGGAATAATTTGGGAACGGGGGATTTGGAGCCCTCAGGAAGCGGAAAATTTGGGGAATTGGGAATTCCCGGATTTGGGGATTCCGGAACGGAATTCCCGCTTTTCCTGATACTAGGAGCAATTTAGAAATGGGGATTTTGGAATTCTGGACCCTCTGGAATTTGGGGATTTCCTGGAGAAACACAAGGAACAGGAATTCTGGGAATTCCCAGGAAAAAGGGGGGATTCCAAGGAAATCTGCGCCCGGCACGACCCGGCGCAGGCCTGGAGGGGAGGGAATTCCCAAATCTTGGAATTCCGGGGCGGAATTCCCACTTTTTCCGTGATCCTGGGGTTGGGGACGATTTGGGAGTGGGGGATTTGGGACGCTCTGGAAGCGGAAAATTTGGGAAACCTCTGAAAATTTTGGAACCTCTGGAATTCTGGGAGAATCCCAAATTTGGGAATTCCCTGGAAAACCAAAAAATTTTGTGAGAATCCCGCATGGGGATTCCCAAATTTGGGGATTCCGGAATGGAATTCCCGCTTTTCCTGATGTTGGGAATAATTTGGGAACGGGGGATTTGGAGCCCTCAGGAAGCAGAAAATTTGGGAGATTTTGGAATTCTGGACCCTCTGGAATTTGGGAATTCCCAAATTTGGGAATTCCCCAGAAAACAAAAAATTTTGGGAGAATCTCGTGTGGGGACGGATTTGGGAATTCTCGAATTTGGGAATTCAATTCCCGCTTTTCCTGATGTTGGGAATTATTTGGGAACGGGGGATTTGGGACCCTGTGGAAGCAGAAAATTTGGGAGATTTTGGAATTCTGGACCCTCTGGAATTTGGGAATTCCCAAATTTGGGAATTCCCCGGAAAACCAAAAATTTTGGGAATTCTCGAATTTGGGAATTCTGGGATGGAATTCCCACTTTTCGTGATCCTGGGAAGAGTTTGGGATTGGGAGATTTGGGACCCTCTGGAAGTGGAAAATTTTTGGCAAATCTCAAATTTGGGAATTCCCTGGAATAAGGCAAAGAACGGGAATTCTGGGACGGAATTCCCACTTTTCTGTGATCCTGGATTTCGGAATAGTTTGGGAATGGGGGATTTGGGACCATCTGGAAGCAGAAATTTTGGAATTCTGCACCCTCTGGAATTCCCAGATTTGGGAATCCTGGGATGGAATTCCCGCTTTTCCTGATGTTGGGAGCAGTTTAGGAATTTGCGATTCTGGACCCTCTGGAAGTGGGAGAATCCCACGTGGGGACGAATTTGGGAATTCCCAAATTTGGGAATTTTTTTTATTTTTGGGATCTTTGGGATGTTATCCATAAGAATCTCCAGGAAAATTCCCATTCCCAAATCCCGCCAATTTTTTGGATTTTCAGGATTTGATCCTAAAGAATCTCTGGGAAAATTCCCAAATTCCCCCATTTTTTGGGATTTTTGGCATTTAATCCCGAAAATTCCCTGGGAAAATTCCCTTTCCCAACCCTCCTCTCCCATTTCTGATTACCGAAAATACCAAATCCCAAAATCTTAAATTCCCCAAAAT